TAAGATGTTTAGCAACACTGTCACCAGCAACAATACAGAATTAAGGAAATGTATCTCATGAACTATGGACATGCTTAAGGTTTCTAAATGTGAAAACTGACTTCGTTTAGCTGCCTAGGATTAATTACAGGAAGAGAAAGATGAACTGAAATGTTCAGCAGAATTTAGAGGAAATCAGGACTTGCTAGGTTGGATACGAAAATTTATTGTCCTGCTTGCTTGTCTAGTCAGCAAAAGATTCTTAAAGAAAGAAGTCGTTTTAGGGCAAAAATCACATCCAGGGATCTACTAGCACCATGTGCTCTCAGGTTAAAGATCAAATCAAGTATGTGGCTGGGGAAAATCTCTCATGAAGACCTCAGAAAGATTTAAAATGTAGTGCCTCGTAGGCTCTGTCAGGGAGACAGAAGCGCCTCTGAAACCCCAAGGGCTCGTACTTCAGCAATCTGACTTGCAGCCAAAGTCAAGAGGAGCCTGTGTTAAGAGTTTTGTGGGTATGTCTTTTTCTCAAGGAATGAAAAAATGTACAGGAAGCTCCCAAGATTTATAAGAAAATTTTCCTATAATTTTAATTACCACCAGCTAAACAAAAGGGAGAACACAAAAGGTCTCTAGATTCCTAACTCTCTATGAACACGAAGCAGGCTTCTCAACTGCTGACAAGAACTATCTCTCATGGACAAAGAAGAGGAAAGCCTTGAACTTTCCAGCCAGCCCAGCTGAGTTGCCAGATAGATGAGCTGAAGAAAATTCTTTTTTTTTAAATTAAATCTTTATTGTTCAGATTATTACATTTGTTCCTCTTTTTTCCCCCCATAACTCCCCTCCTCCCAGTTCCCGCCCCACCCTCCGCCCTCACTCCCCACCCACTGTCCTCATCCATAGGTGCACGATTTTTGTCCAGTCTCTTCCCGCATCTCCTACACCCCTTTCCCCCTCAAGAATAGTCAGTCCATTCCCTTTCTATGTCCCTGATTCTATTATAATCACCAGTTCATTCTGTTCATCAGATTATTTATTCACTTGATTCTTAGATTCACTTGTTGATAGATGCATATTTGTTGTTCATAATTTGTATCTTTACCTTTTTTGAAGAAAATTCTTGAATGTTTCTCCCCAGCAACCTAAGAAGAACCAACCAGCTGAAGGTAGCCCAGTTGCACAATAATGACAAATTATTGTGGGTTGTTTTTTTTTAAGTTATCGTTCTCAGGGATTTTTGTTTTGTTTTGTTTGTTAGGTGGGTTTGTGTTGGTTTTTATTATTTAATGAAGGCAGAGCAGAAACAGGTTAAACATTCTGGCTCTTGTGTTGTATTGAGAAGAAGGTTGGGTGGAGGGTGAAATGTAGCAACAGGGAGACCCACTCTTGCAATAATACCATGAGATATGATATCGATAGCTGGAACGAGGTGGCACAGTGAAGGGGCTGATAAGGTCAGATGTGGGAAACAGTTGGAAGGCACAGGTAAATGGGTTAGTGGAAGATTAATGTGAGGTGTGAGAAAAAGAGACGTCAAGGGCAAATCCAAGATTCATTGATTGACTGTCTCTGCACCTAAAAATATGGAATTACCATCAACTGAGATCGGGAAGACAGTGGGAGGAGCAGTTTTGGGTTAAGTCAGGAATCTGCTGAGTACTAGATATCTAATCGGGGATGTTGAAAGACTGTTGGGTCTGGAGTTTAGAAAGAAGTGATGATTGGAGATATAAATATAGCAAGTATCCATGTATGAAGACATTAACAGCCAAGAGACTGAATAAGGTCACCAAGGGAGTGAGTATAGACAGAGAAAAGGCCTAAGCACTGGGCCCTTGAACTTCTCTATTTAAAAGGGTAGGGGAAAAAAGAACCAGTAAAGGAGACAGATAGGTGCTGGTGAGGTAAAAGGAAGTAAGAAGGTATTCCAAGCCAATCCAGAACTCTAGGGGTATGCACAGGTCGGAGCCAAGCACTGACCACTGCAGTTAGCATGGGGGTTCTTAGAACCTCTGACAAGTACATTTTTAGTGGAGCAGTGGGGACCACAACCTGGGTGGTTCAAGAGAGACTAAGAAGAGAGAAATTGGTGACAGAACTGAATTGACTTTGAAAATTTTCCATAAAATGGGGACAGAAACACTAGGTGATGGCTGAAGAGAAGCATGAGGGTTTTTTTGTTTTGTTTTGTTTTGTTTTAACAGAAAAAAATATAGCATGGCTATATAGTGATTGGAAAGACCCACCACAGAGAGAAAAGTAGTGATGGTGGAGAGAAAGGATGAATTATTAGAGCTATGCCCTTCAGCAGGTGATAGGAAGGAGGCTACACACTTGGAAGACTGCCATGAATTTATGGCTAGTTCCCTTACCTCTAATGTGTTTTTTCCTCAATAAATCTTACCCCAGACCAAATTTCCTAAAATACTGCTTTTATTATAATACTAGGGGCCTGGTGCATGAAGATTCATGCATTGGGGGTGGGTCTCTCAACCCAACCTGCACCCTCTCCAATCTGGGAGCCCTCAGGGGAGCCCTCTCCAATCCGAGAGTTTTTGTCTGTCTTTGCAATCATATAAGCGAATTGTCTGAGACCCCCAACCCAGTTTGGTTTGTTGCCCACAGAATAATAGAGGCTTTTTGTTTTTTCTTTGCTTCATTGGTGAAGATTTCTTGGAAGTTTTAGATATCTTCCCTTTAATTTTTCCTAGACACTTTGATTTTACTTATGTCTCTCACCTTTCCTTTCCCTCCATCCCCCACTGCAACAGTAACTTGCTCCAGTGCAGCGGTTCTCAACCTGTGGATCGCAACCCCTTTGGAGGTCGAATGACCCTTTCACAGGGGTCGCCTAAGACCGTCTGAAAACACATATATTCTTCCCTTCCTGCTCTGTCTCAGTCCCACAGCCTCCCACTCTGCCAAGTCCTCCAAGCCACCAGCTCTCCCTCTCTGCTCTCCGTCTGGCAACTTGGGGAGCCAAGTTCCCCAAGCCACTCCACTCTCTGCTGGCTCTCCCGCTCTACTCTCTGCCCAGCACCTGTGTATGAAATTTAACCCGCCATCTTTGTCAGGTTAATTTGCATACTCATTCCTGATTGGCTGGTGAGCGTAGCAGAGGGAAGGTCAATTTACATGTTTCTCTTTTATTATATAGGATTGTAACATTGGTTTTGTTATATTACTTATGTTTTACATTCCTCTGCTTAGCTGTCAAGCTGTTGGATGACCCGAATAACTCTCACTGAAGTCAGTAAAAGTCAACTATGTGACCTGCCCTTGGCTGGGCATACAGGTCACATTGTTCTATCTTTATTTAAAACATAACTGCAGAGACAAACACATAATAAGATGAATGTACAGAGACAAAAGCTATTATAGGGGAATACAGACAGCACCAAATACATTCATATAAGGGAGAAAAATCATTCATCCTGGGCAGTAGAAGGGGACGCAAAAGCTACAGAGGGTGGGCATTTTGAATGGGACACAGGAAAGCTGACAAATAGCAAGTGCGTCTAGAGCCCAGAGAAAGTGTAACCAGAGCTGAGGAATGGAAGAGACTAGGCCGAAAAAGATATCCAAGCCCCCAAGCTTGGCTGGAATCTCTTCCCAACCCCACCCCTCTAACCAGGTGGCGGGTGGGCAATAAGTATGATTAGAGACCTTCAAAGCGAAGTGCAGGCACTCCTGGGGTAGCTGGCAGCTTTTCAAGCTCTGGTTGGACATAGAGAGATCTATAGAAACCTACTTCCAGGCTCACTATTTTTATGAGTGATATGCCTGAAATATGCCTGAGGCAAGCACATTTCTAGCAAGTTCTCCTTTCCCACTTCCCCTTTCATAATCACCCTCTTCCCATTTTATCAAAAGAGAGGCATCTCCCCCCACATCCAGAATCTCACCCTGCCTCTTGCCAAATGGAGGGGCAATCTGAAAAAGGGATGTTAGGGAAACCCTCTCCAATGGAAGCCTTGATCGCAACACACCCATATCTACATCTATACACATATACACTTCCAATATAGTTTAGCTTTATGCCTAATAATTTCTTATCAAAGTTAATGAGTTATTGTGGTTACCTGCATACTAATAATATTTAAAGTAACATAAATAATAGTTTTCAACAATAAAATTCTTAAATGATTACATTTCAATACTTATTTTTGTTGCTGCAGAGGATGAAGAAAGTCAAAGAAATTGGAAAGCTATATTGTAATATTTCTAACTGTAACATGTTTAATTAAAGAATAATTATTTGAAAATTTCAGAAGTCCGTGCTAACCATGTGCAAGGGGAGAATTGACACAATAGGTCCTTGAATGTGTCACTGGTCTCTCTCCATGTCCCTGTGATAAGTAGAGCTTTCCCCCTCCCCCCACCTTACAAGCATCATATATTCTTCTTCTAGGATCATTTTCAGTTTCAATTCCTTTATCTGAGTAAACACTTTCTGTCATTCTCCTGATCGTCCCTGCATCTTGTCAGCATTGGGGTAAGAAGCAATTGTGTATTATTTGAACATGATCAGCTAATAGGGACTCAGAGTTCTTGGTCCATTTTTATGTGTCTACATACAGTCCTCTGCTCTTCTGAAAACGACTGGCAAGACACCAATAGACTCAAAGTGGAAAAAAACACTGGAAAATATATGCATACAAATACCTGCCTCCTGATATAAAATATGTGCAAGTGAGACCAAAGAGCCTCTTATTTTCTATTTCTGATTCCAGCACTAAATAACTTTTTTTTTAAAAAAAGGAAACCATTCCTTGACATAGAGCAAAGTAATAAATGTAATAGTTATAACACATTCCAGTACTAGCTACAACCCCAGATGTTCTCTCAACTCTCCTATGGGATTTTCCCATCCAATACATCAAATAGGGTAGCAGCAAGCACTTAGGCAATGTTCAGTCTCAACAGTCTCATGCAGTAATCTGTAATTACTAGGTAAATTAATCCAAGAGCTAATACTGAGCTGAAGAAAAAAGCTGGCTTTTTGCCAAGCGTCATACCTTAAATCTTTCTGAAAGCAGACTTCCCAAACGGCTGACTCTACCGCCTCAGTTGTGATAGAATGGGAAAGTCTTCTGTCCTGATCTCCCCATGAATCCCAGGCTTCTGTTTGGATGGATGAATAGACAGGTAGATCAATAGATAGAAACATATAGATCAATCCACATTTGCCCACTACTTGTCAAGCTCTGTCAGCAAAAACTGGTACAAATTAGACAAATGTTTTCATTCAGGAACCATAAAGGAAATGTCTCCAAATAACCAAACACATATAGACACTCCTGTGAATATTATCTGGTCATAAGGGCCATCCTTAAATATATCATTAATAATGTCAATCATGTAATAACCATGTAAGCATGGCTTTAAACCCAACATTCACCATAACCCTGCACCCAAATGCAATAGGGGTTGACTGTCACTGTCAAATTGTGGGAAGTATTTCTATGGAAATAATATTCTTCATAAATATCAGTGACCAAATCTGTCTGGGTTCAAATCCCAGCTCTACCACCTTTTAGCTGTAACTTGGGGGAAGTTATTAAATTATGCTATTTTCCCATTTCCTAAGCTACAAAATACAATCCTTACCACCACATAAGTTTATTATGACAATTTTAAAAAAATACATCCATTCTTGGAACAACATCTGATACATAATAAGAACTCAAAAAATTACCTAGGATTAGTATTATTTCCCATAATTCAAGTTGTGGGCCCAAAGACAGTATTCTGTATTATCATTACCTAACCTTCAAAAGAACAGTTACAGAATGAGCAAAACTTAACAGTAAGGAGAAGAAAAAAGGACAGTCTTCTAAATTTTAAAATGTTTTAAAAAATGTTTTGGGTCCAAGACCCGTTTAAAAAGCTGATTAGAATTATGGGTATTTCCCTTGGAAAAATCCACTTATACACAAATTTCAGTACTTCCTTCACAGTCTTCCTGAAGTTTACTCAGAGCCAGCAAACCTGAGGACCTCCTAGGGCTTAAACCCCTCCAGTTATCAAACTATTTCAATAAACTTTAAACTGCTATTTCTCCCATCCTCCAAAGAAGTTTATAAACATGCAATTCATTGACAAACATGTTTTGTGATACAGCTGTTCACATTTACATCTGAATCTCATGGATTAAAACAAAAGGCATCACATTGATTTTCTTAAGCCCACTGGTAATCTGTAGGAAAATTCCAAATTCCAGAACTACAGCTTCAAATCAGGTTCTGGAGTTCCCCCTCCACATCAGCAGAGCAGTGAATTCAAATGTTAAAAAACTGTTTTGGGTCTGAGACCCATTTAAACAGCTGAGTAGAATCCTGTGAACACGCTGCCTATTACAGCTTCTGGACCAGTGGCCAACCCAACTCCCTTCTGCCCCTTTGTCCCAGAGCAGAGGGCTGCAGGGAAGGTCATTCTGAGTACGACTAAAACTTTGAGAACACAAAACAGAGGAAGAACTATAAGAATATGACATTAAAACACTACCATAAAAAACTTCAGAACTTTCTGACACTTCTTAACTATAGGAAGGAAATTTTTAAATTTTTCATCACTTTTAAAATCTAAAGTGACTACTACTTTGTCTTCAGTCCTTTCTTTCATATATATATTATATTTCATATATATATTATATTTCATATATATATATATATTACATTCTTTCTTTAGTACTTCCTCCTTCTGTCTACCATACCCACTAACCCGGCTTTTTTTTTTTTTTGAAATATATTTTATTGATTTTTTTTTACAGAGAGGAAGGGAGAGGGACAGTTAGTTAGAAATATCAATGAGAGAGAAACATCAATCAGCTGCCTCCTGCACACTCCCTACTGGGTATGTGCCCGCAACCCAGGTACATGCCCTTAATAGGAATCAAACCTGGGACCCTTGAGTCCACAGCCTGACGCTCTATCCACTGAGCCAAACTGGTTAGGGCCTGACGCGGCTTTTTAATGAAAGGGCGGGAGTTTGAAATTGCATCTGTATTGCCCAGTTCACCCAGCAGGGTGCTGTAACATCCAGACTGAATAAAGCCTCTGTGGGCACATGGACAAGATGAAGATGCCTATCAGCTACAAATTGACACCATCACCAGTGCCATGGCACGAGGAAGAAGCTGTATTATAGAATTGTACCCCTGAAGCCTATATAATTTCATTAACCAATGTCACCCCCAGTGCATTCAATAAAAAAGAAAGTAGCTTTAAAAAAAACACACAGTGGAAAATAATAGCGAGTGACAACCACTTCACTCCTAGTTTCAAAACTTCTGACTCACTATTTAAGAATCTGTTATAAGCATCACTGAAGAGTAACCTTACCTTATACATGCACGGAAGTTAGCAAACCCTTAAGTGCATGGGATTACATAGTTAAATTCAAATAAATTGTATACACTTGCAAAGGCAGTCTCAATAACACTTGAAAAAAATAACTGGAATTTAATTTAAAACCACCTTGAACAAGGATTTGAATGGAATGCAAATCCCCTGCATTTCTTCCAAGTTTCTCATACTGCTTTTCTGAGAGACAGATGTCTTGTCCAGGATTGGAACTGAAAATACAGGCCCAGGTCTGACTGCCAAAAGTGACCATTCCTGCAAATTCCTCTCCCTGGAAGGCAAGGTTCCCGATCAAAGAAAAGGAGGCGAATTTGATTTTGCCAGCAAAGGTACAGACAGTCCTGTGTGTTCCCGCGCGCGCAGGCTTGCAGGGGGTTTGGGAGGGAGCTGGGAAGAAGCGGGAAGATGCAGTACCTTTCTTGAACTTTCTGAGCTCAATGGGGTGAGAAACTCAGCGCTTGGTGCAGCCAGACGCCGTCTTCTCTTTGAACCTGCGGCTTGGCGAGGGCGGTCAGGCGCACGTCACTGCTCTCCGCCAACCCACCCTGGCGTCTCACCTGCAGCTGGCGACAGGCAAAGAGAGGAGCGCACTAGGGAACCCGCGGGACGGCCAAGTGACCAGCAATCTGCGCTCCTCTGGAAGCGGAGGATGGCGAGAAGAGGACACCAGAGAAATAAAGGGCCAGAAGGTGAAAAATCTCTGCACGAAGTGCAAGTGAAAACTGAAGTCACAGTCTAGTGTTCCCTAGAAGAGGGCGGGGCAGCCTGTCGGGGAGCCGGGTGGGTCCAGCTGGAGGTGGGAGGGGTCCAAGGCGGAGACTGTTCGGGGGAAATTCTAACGCCCTTTCAACCACCCACACCTCCCTTCCCAAAGCGGAGAGGCTGAACTCTGTACCTCCATCGAGTCCGGGCTGCTGGGTGAGGGACTGCAGGTGGCGCAGCCAGAGGGCACGGCCACCCGACTGCCTTTCCTTTCGAGCTACGGCGCCGCCGGAGAGCGAGTGAACTGGGTGAGCGCTCTGAACTCCAGGAGTCCCAACCCCCCAGCGAAAACAAAAGTGAAAGAGAAACGGGTGGGGAGCAGAAGCGAAGATAAACACCCAGGGCGATGGGGGAAGGGTGAGATGGCAGTTCCTGGATAATTGCCCAAGGTGTCGCAGCTGCCCTTTCCCTCGGGTTGGTGCGCCGGTCAGGTTACTGGCACGACCACGCGCAGGGGCGCAGAACCTGGAGGGGTCTTGGGAGGTGGTCGGAGAGCTCTGGTCTCGGGCTTCGGGCTTCGGCTGGTACCCCCTTGGGCACCTGCAGATAATGCGCGAGGCGAGGGCCCGTTGCTCACTTGCCGCGTCTGCGGAGCCAGGCAGGGCGCAGGAGGCTGCCCCACCGAAGCCTGGAGACCTGGGCGTGGTGCGCGCCCAAGCCGCCCAAGGAAAGGGGGAATGTGTGCATCGCAAGGAGCGGCTTCTCCAGACCAGCCACCTTGGCTCGCTGGCTGCGCAAGGTAGAAGAAGGAAGGCCCCGAGGTCTTAAAGAGGAAATGTTGGGTAACTACTTTGTCCAAGGCAGTTGGCACCGAAGCTGAACTTGAAGGGAATGAGTCTGTCTGCTGATCGAGTGCGAAGTCGAGGATAAACGTTGCACGTGGCCCCATTTCATGGGATCCTGTGCAATTTTATGATGGTGGTATTTCATTGTTGAGGCTAAGGGAGCTGCGGGCCAGGGTCCGGAGGAAAGGCCTGGCGCCCAGTTTGGGAAGCCCTTTGGAGGGAACCTTGCTCACTTGTGAGCCACCGAAAATCCCTCATGGAAGTTCCTCCACCAAAGTTTCCAGGGTTATGTCATAGAAAAAATGATAAGGCTCCCTGGAGCTTAGTAAAATATGTGTCTGACTCAATGTATTCCATATCATCCTGCCTGTTAAAAAATAAAATAGAAAAATATTAGAAGTGATTTAAATATGAGTTGGCGTAAAGTTCTACATAAAATCATTTCATATCTTTATGAAAAAAGTTGACCTCTAGATAATCACTATCAACAAAATAAGTGAAATATCAAAATGTAAAAAATGTTTTTTTTTACACTCATTCAAAATTTCACCATAGTTGGAAACGAAACAATCATTCTTTTCTGTCCAAGACAAAATAATGTTCCATTTTCTCGTGATGATGCTAATGATTTCAAATCTGATGAGACTTTTTCATAGCAAAATGCTGACGTTCCGATTTGGATTGGCAGCATGAGGACGCTCTGTGAAAGCCTGCATCTGGTTTGGAGTCCGTTGCAAAAATATGGCAGCCTCCAAAGGACTAAAGTGTGTGTCTATGTGAACATGGAGATGAGGGATGGAGAGATGGATCTGTGTCCCGAGCCTCAACTTGGAAGCCAGCAGAGCTCCATGGGCTCCCTGCAAAGTGAACTCAAGCTGTACCCCTTGCGATCAATGCTGTTGAGTGCTCTGCGCCGGGTGGCAGGGCTAGATGTGCAGGCAGTAAGGCCCCTCACTGGCTATCCTACCCTCAGTACCAAGTAGCAGAGCCAGAGAGGGCTGCTGCCAGAGGAGGTTTTCTCACATCCTAAATCAGGCTGCGTTTGGGCTGCCTGGGAGAACTAGACTCTGCTCTTCACTGGGCTCCCTGGCTCAGGGGCTCCAGAACCTTGTCAGCTGTGCCCAGGGCTGAGGGGAATCAGTGGCTGACAGTGCACTCTGCGTATAAGGCCACCTTGAACATTCTAAGCTACTGAAAAGTTTGCACAACACTGAAACTGATGGGAATTTTCTTCTAGAGCTGAGCTATAAAGGACCAGCTGAGTACGTAGATTAATAAGATTGGTCTCAAATATTGATCGAGCTTACAAAACGGGCGGGATGAAATAGAATACATGTAGTCAGATTGGGGAGAGAAAATAGCATAAATAACAACAAAGTAAAATGGAAAATGAGTATAGCCATAAAACATGCTTTGCTCTACCACTTGCCTGCCAACTATATAGGTCAATATTGTTTTCTTAATTACTGAAAGAGATGTATTTTTGAATTAGTTATATAAGTGCCTGCAACTCTATAAAGTTGGGTTTTCAGCATAAATTGTTTTGCTGCATCGAGCACAAACAGAAAAGTCTAATATATGCAACTGGCTTTTCAGTTGCCACAGGCTGTTTGGCAAGATATTGAAAATTACTCACACCAATGAACAAGCATATTCCACTGTATAAGTTAAAAGAAAAGACCAAGATTGATGAAATAATTTGAAACTGCCTGAAGATAAATAACTAGTACAATTATAATGTCGGAAGCAGCGAAAATTAACTAACTCACAGAATTGACTTAATATTTCTTTGAATTTGAAGAATTAAAAATAAAATGATAGTTTAACAAATTTCAGTGTCTGTTTTTTCATTCCAAAGACAATGTTTGACAATTTGGCAGTTGTCTATACAATAAGTTACTAGTAAATATTTTCTGTAGATCCCGAGACTATGTGGAAGGAGTTGACAGTCAGCTCCTCTGGTTTGTTGTTCAAAGTCCATAACTATGACCTTATTTATGATTCTTCTAAGAATAAGTCACAGGCCAGGAACAAGTTGGTCTCTGGTCTTTGAAAAACATGACCCAGGATACCCCCAGTTTCGTTTTGGTTAAAGCGCACCTGAAATGCAGCCTTACCTCAAGGTTGCTCCCACCTCGGATTTTTCGGTGGTCCTGACAATAGAGGAATACTCCTCCTCTTAAAGATAACTTAAGTTTTCAAGAGCTTCTTAAGCTACCGCTTTTTCGGAGCTGTAGCAGTAGCAGTTAATACATCTGTAGTCTCTATGGTGTGTCCCCAGGTACTTGCTAAGCACAAATACTAATTCATTAAACCCTCACGGCAATGCTGTGAGATACGAACTATTATTATGTCCATCTTACAGATGGAGAAACCAAGACCCAGAGAAATTACATGACTTGCCTAAGGTCACATGCAATTGAGTGGCCCAGCAAAAATTTGAACTCAGGTCTGGCTTGAGTATGCATCCCCTCTGCAGCCTCTAAATGGACACCTACCCACCATGGCTTCCTGAACAAAAAGTTCCTGAGAGTAGTTTTAGCCACCACCAGGGAGGAAACTCATCAGTTCCCTTGAGTTTATGCTTCCTGATGTCATTGTGTTTCTGTAAGGAAGCTGGTCTGACTGTTACAGTGCCACTACAAATAGGCTATTTTAATAAAGTGACTAACAAAGGCTAGCAGAGTTAGAAACAGCGGAGCTAGCAGCCTTCACACTCTGGCTGGGTCCTATTAGAGATGGTTGATTTTGTTTGAACTGAAGAGTAAAAGTGTACCCATGGAAGGGGGGAAAGGACACCCAGTTTCAAGATCGAGAGCAATTAAAAGTAGTTATATAATAACATACTTAATTTTTAATATACTTAAAAGTAAATGGAATCTTTAATGTTTTGGTACTTAGTAATGGAGAGAAGGGGTTTAAATAAAATGAAGAGATGATGTGCTAATACTATTCTGAACAGTCTTTTAAGGCTGACCTTATCAATCAAAATCTAGTTCAAATTCCCTTACTTAAATATATAACATGAAAATGTATATATTTATATGAATATCTATCTAATCTATATAAATACAAAAAGATCATATGAGAGTGAATTATTAAGCCACTCCTGAGGCCTTCTACTTATGCCCTATGTCCTATATTTAAACAAGAATTGTGTTTAATAGTTCTCGAAAAGTGTATCCTGACAATTTTCCAAATTAAACAAAAAGCTTTCAAATTAACCATGTGTCAAAGAAGAAATCACAGAGGAGATTATGAAATCCTTTTAACTGAGTGATAATGAAAACAAAGTATATCGATATTTAAGGGATGCAACTAACATAGGTCTTAGGGAAGAATGTATAGCTGTCAATACTTATATTACAAATAAAAAAGGTTAAAATTAATAGAATAAGCTTCCACTCTTAAGAAAGTAGGAAAAAAGAAGACAATATACACAAAGAGAAAGAAGGAAACAACAGATAAAAGCTAAAATGGAATAGAAAATCAATGAAAAAAAGTTATTCATTTGAAAAGATCAATAAAATTGATAAATCCCTCGAAAGCATTGGTCCAAATGGTTTCACAGGTAACTTTTTCAAACGGTCAAGAAATGGATAATTTCAATGTCATCTACATGACCCGAGAAAGCTGAGAAACGGGTGTACCAGGTATTCCTTATTGGTATCCAGCCTCTTGTCTAACCATCTGGGTTCTCCTCTGTATTTCAAGGGTCTGGAAGCAGGGCTTTTGCTAGCAGGGTCCTGGTAGGTTTTGCCAAGCGGAGACACTAATGCAAAATTAAGAAGGAAGAGGAACGGAGAAGCCAATGTCTGCTCTGGCCGTGGTGGCATGCCCAGGGCTGCTGAGAGCTGGCTCGCGACCGGGGTGCCAGCGGCTGTGATGGCCAAGCAAAGGCAGGGATATTTCTCTCTCAGGGGCTGCAGCTGCCTCCCCTATTCCCTGATTTCAGCGTGAAACAAACATATTTTGTGCCCTTCCAGCCCTTCCCAATAAATTGGGACCCAACCTCCTAGTTTAACCCCCTCTCTGCTTGAAATGCCCTGAGTGGTTTCTGTGCTTTCGATTGGAACCTGACAGATACAGAAGGAAAGCTTTTGAGCTATTCTTATAAAGCCCACCGGAGTCACCACAGAATTTGATAAACAGCATAAAAAGAAAATGACAAACCAGTTTTATTAATGATTGTCAATGCAAAACCTCTAAATGACGCTTTAAATAAAATATTAATAAAATAAAATAAAATAAAATTGATAAATCTCTAGCTAAATTGATCAAGAAAAAATTAATAAAATAACACAATTATCAATATCAACATTGAAAAAGGAGACATCACTATACACTATAGACAAAAAAAAAGAATGTAAAAAACAACTTTGTGGCGATAAATTTGATAAAGAGACAAGTTCCTTAAAAGCCACAAGCTGATAACACACACACACACACACGCACACGCACACGCACACACACACAGAATGTTTAAATTAACCTATATCCATTATAGCAATGTAATTCATAATTAAAATCCTTCCCACAAATAGAACTCTAGACCTGAATGGATTCATTGACAAATCCCACTAAAGAATTAAGGGAAAAATAATGCCAATCTTATACAAACTCTAAGAAAATATAGGAGGAAGAAATACTTAACTTATTTTATGAGGCCATTAATTACTCTGTCAAAACCAGCAAAAATATTATATGAAAAGAAATCTACAGCAGAATATTTTTGAATATGGCACAAAATTTCTTAACAAAATATTAAAACTCTAACCTAATGTATAAAAAGGATAATACATTAGAAACAAGTGGGGGTTATTCATGTAATGAATGCAAAGCTGACTTAACATTTCAAAGCCAATCAATGAAAAGCTCAGTAGTAATTGAATAAAGAAGAAAAAAGCATTTGACAAAATTCAACATTCAGCCATGATGAAACCTCTCAGGGAACTAGAAATGGAGGAAAACTCTCTACCTGGTAACAGGTAACTACAAAAAAGTATAAAGCTAACATTTTACTTGATAGTGAAAGAGGAATGCTTTACCCCTAAAATCAACCACAACCAAAGATGTCTGCTTTTACCACTCCTGTTCAACTAGCACTAGAGGACCGTCCTAGACAGTGCAATAGGATAAAAAAAAAAGTCATAAAGAATGGAAAGAAATAGGTAAAGTGTCTTTATTTCCAGAGAATAGGTTCCTGAGGAACCTACCAGTAAAATTCCTAGTACTATACATGAATTTAGCAGAATGCAAGATAAGTATATAAACATAAATTATATGTTTTATACATCAAGCAATAATTAGAAGTTAAAAGTTTTAAGAAACTAATTTACAAAAGTATCCAACATAAAATACTTAAGCATAAATTTAATAACATGTACACTGAAAACTACAAAACACTGCTGGGAGAAACTGAAGATGACCTAAATCAAAGGTTGATAAACTATGGCCTACAGCTTTTAGCCTATTTTGTTTTTAGAATTCAGACACACCCATTTGTATCATTTGGGTATGGCAGCTTTTGCAGTTGAGAAATTTCAACAGAGACTATATAATTTAGCAAAGCATAAACAATATTTACTACATTACACTTTGCGGAAGACATTTGCCAGCTTATTATCTAAATGTTTGGAGAAATAGCATATTCATAAATTAGAAGATTCAAGGTTAAGATGCCACTTTTTCCTCCAACCTATCCATAGACTCAATGTAATCTAGCAAGCTTTCCTGTACAACTTGATTAGGTGATTCTGAAATTGATATGCAAATACAGAGGAGCTAAAAGAGGCAAAACACTTTTTAAAAAGTGGGAGGATTTATACTACCAGATATCAAGACTTAATATAAAGGTACAAAAGACCTGAGCAGTGTAATACTAGAATAAAAATACACACAAAAATCAATGGAACAGAATAAAGTTCAGAAAAAAAAATCCAGACACATAGCCATTTGGTTATGGCAGTTGTGGCAGGATAAGTATTAAATAATACTCTTTCAACAAAAAATATAGGAATAACTGGATTTTTAGTTAAAATATTATTTTCAATTCTTAAACTCAGATCACTCCTAAAAATTAACACAAAAGTAGTTCAGAGACCTGAATGTAAAAACTAAAAATATAAATCTTTTAGAAGAAAGCATAGAAGAAAAACTTTGCAATCTTTAGGTAAATGAAAATATCTTAGAACACAAAAAAGTACTAAGAAAGGGAAAAAAGTATATTTGGATTTCATCAAAATACAAACTCTTTTTAGAAAGTCCAAAATGACTACCAGCATACTAAATATTCCAGAGAATCCTACAATTAAAAATCCTGTTTGATATTGTTTGACTTATTTCTCAAATATATTGGTCTAAGAACCATTTTACAGTAGAAAACCAATTAATTTTATGTAGAACTTGTATTCTAGAAAACACACTTGCAAAGTATTATTAAAGATATATTACTCGCTTCTGGAATAAATTATCAATACTAATTGAGGGAGAAGAGCCACCGTCATCTAGTAATTATTTTTGTCATGGTGTATGCTCTGTGTTTGATTCACCTACATCCTATATAAAAAAAGCCTAATATGCTAAGTGTCTGACAGTTCGACCAGTCGCTGTGACATGCACTGACCACCAGGGGGCAGACACTCCAACCAGTAGGTTAGCTTGCTGCTGGGGTCTGGCCCATTGGGACTGGGCGAGATGGGCCAGACACACCCTGGAGCCCTGCCGTGATCCCTCCCTGTCCCTGATCATGCACTGGTTGGGGTCCCTCTGCACCATCTAGTAATCTGGAACCCCTTGGGGGATGTCAGAGAGCTGGTTTCAGCCT